CTATTTGTTATGCCATTAACAGCAGCATGTTAAATATTTGATCATGTATGATGTTGAGTCTTGTCCTTTCGCATTATTCTTTTAACCTTTTAGACATCAGTACAGTTATTTCTTTAAGCTTGTGAACTGCTAGTGAGTTCCAACTGTCTCCTGTATTTATGTATAATGTATATATTCTGTTCTGAGACAACATACAGTCATTTCCATGGATTCACTATTTTATGCCATTACTTAGAATTTGACAGCTAAACTGCTATTTGTCTTTGGGCTTTAAAAGAAATGAAACATCAGAGTTAAAGAAATGCTTTCAGTATAGCACAGTATTCTGTACATGTCCATCTTAAGAGTATAGATGAACAAAATTATTTTAACTCGAACTGAAGTCAGTGTAGCCTTCAGAAAAATACATTGAATTTTTTTGTATTTGAGTTGACAAGAATACTTTGGCATAAGTCTCATTGAATCTACATAATCCTTTAAAATGGCTACCTGTTTTATAGTTTGAAGGTAATTATAACTTGGTGTTTCAAAGTACATACGTATGGACAAAGGCTGGAGGAGGGACACCGAGGAAAAAAATGAAAAATTTTTTCTTTAGAGTGGTAGGATGAAATGTAACTATAAAATGTTTACCTAATATTTTTAAATAGTCTCCTAAATTATAATGAATATTAACAGATGATGTTGTAGTTCTTTTGCTTATTTTCTGATTCTGGAATCTGAGTCTTACTTTGAGGGCAAAGAGCTCCATGGTGTGTACTAGCAGAGTAGTTAATTCTTGCAGTAATTAATTGCAATAATGGGGTAAGTTAGTGAAGACCTCTTACAAATAAAGCTAATGAGAATATTAGCACTTAATTTTACTTAATTTGATAGAGGATGTTGTTGGTTAAAGGAAGCGAAAAATTTGAGGTAGTTGTTTAATTTTATGGCCTTTCTCAGATCTGAGTTTGAGTATAAAGATGTAATTACTGCTTTGTTCTATTTGGTTCCAGACTGGACCTGAATTAATTTAAAAAATTTAATCATTGATTCCTTTTTCAGTTTTTGGTTTTAGCAAAGTGTGTTTATCGCTTTCTAAACATCATTTTGTGTGTAAAGTTGTACACCTCATGCTTCAGTGTGGATAATGAGGAACATTTTTACATAGAAAATTAAACCTCTGTGTTTGATGATAGCATTAGTAGAAAAAAATAAAATAAGGAAATAATGAAAATTATAAATCAAATAACTATGAAGGAATTGTGCCACATTACTCTTTCTTGTTCTCATTAAGTTTATAGTCATAAAATATTTACTTCAATTAAGAAGCAACATGTAATAATAGAGCTTTATTTAGACTTTCAGTAAACAGTCAGGAAATTATCTAATTTAGCGATTGTCCCTAATTTTTTTAGCTGTGTAACCTTGGAGAAATCACATAACATCTGTGAATTTCTTTTCATGTGAAAACTAGCTGGTCCTAGGTGTACTCTGGCTATAATAGAGGTGTAGAAAGAAGGTCATGTTTTCCAAATTTCTATGTACTAAAATCTCATTTTTTCTCTCTTGTTTCAGTCAAGCCAGCACCTTTAGAAATAAAACCTTTGCCAGAATGGGAAGAATTACAAGCCCCAGTTAGATCTCCCATCACTAGGAGTTTTGCTCGAGAGTAAGTCTTTGTATAAAATACATAGCTCAATTGTTCTTTATAATGGAAAGTACCTAAAACAGTGGTTCCCAAAGGATGGTCTGGGGAACCCCCCCCTTTTGGGTTTCTGTGAAATCAAAGCTATTTTCTTTAATATATTAAGATGTCATTTGCTTTTCCACTCTCCTCTCATGAGTGTACCCTGGAGTTTTCCAGAGGTGGCTAAAACTGGGTGATATCGTTGTGACAGCTAGTAGAGTATGCCTTTGTGTATGCTTGTGTTTAAATTTTTTTCTATTATTTGTAATATGGTGAATATCAATAGATATCACCCTATAAACGAAAGTTCCTTGGGGTTCTCAATAATTTTTAAAGAGTGTAAAAGGTTCATGAGGCTAGAAATTTCTGAGAACTACTCATCTGGGAACTATGGTAGTTTCTAGTGAGGATTATTTAATAAAGATTCATTTAAATATATATGTGGAAATAAAAAGAATGTACACAATTACTAACCTTTATTGATGTGTTCATATTTTATATGTATGAACAAATTTTTTTAAAAAATAGGAATTCTAAATCTCCCTTTTTAAAGCTGTGACTTTCTATTTATCCCCCATATCATTATCCCCCATATCACTAGCAATACTTTTTTTTTTTTTGCTCTGCACAAGGCTATTAGATGCTCAGAAACATCCCTTTATGGGGAGATGTGAGTTCAGTCCTGAGTTGGGAAGACCCCCTGGGAGGAGGGCATGGCAACCCACTCCAGTGTTCTTGCCTGGAGAATCCCGTAGACAGAGGGGCCTGGTGGGCCACAGTCCAGAGGGTCGCAGAGTCAGACATGGCTGACGCGACTTAACACAGCACAGCATCGCTTTACAGAGGCCTACTTGCCGATGTAGAGAATAAACTAGGGTACCAGATAGGGTGGGGGAGAGGAAGAGGGAAAGGGAAGTAGGAGGTACACACCCCTGGGTGTGACATAGGCTCAAGAATGTGTTGTACAACATGGAGAATAGAGCCAATGTTTTGTAATAACTCTTTAAGTGGAAAGTAACCTTTCAAAGTTTTTTTTTTAAAATATCTGTTTACAAATAGCTATAAATACTAGTTGTGTGTTTGAACATCTGCAATAAAGTATACTGTCATAAATATGGATAGTGAATGATTACAAGCTTCCATATTTCCGGGAGGAACATGCCCTCTCGCTCACTCTCGCCATGGAAGCGAGCTGAGAGACCTGGGCCGGGGCCTGTGTGTGTGACAACCCTCTCTGCCGTCAGCTCCTCCAGGTTTCCGCTGTCCCCCCGGCCGGACTCCGTGCATAGCACAACTTCCAGCAGCGACTCGCACGACAGTGAGGAGAATTACGTTCCCATGAACCCCAACCTATCCAGTGAGGACTCCGTAAGTAGCGTCTTCTCTGCACATCTCTCTTCCTCAGCTCAGCCTTCCTCCCAGTTCATACATGTTACCCATCCACCTTTATTTACTTCAGGAAAAAGGACACCTTTTTTTTTGGCTTTGTATATATTTTAATTAATTCCATACTGGAGAGTGAGGAATTTGAATAAGAAGTTAAGGAGAGTTTTAAAAATGCTTTTGAAAAGCAGATCATAAAGTTGAAAACAAATATAGGGCTCAGAGTGTGATACTATATCTATAAAGTAGATATGTTAGGTAAAAATGATAAAAAAAATTTTCCAGTTATAGTTCTTTTCATATGTACTTGATGTTTGAAACCATTCAAGAAAATGCTTTATACTGGAAGCATTTTATAATGCATTTCTCCAGACTCACATCAGGGAGCTCAGGGTGCTTTGTGTATTCACTTACACAAAGATCTAAAATCAAGCATTCATGAGATGAACTCTTAATGTTCATTACGGGTTGAAAATTAAGTTATGAAATTCACTTAATTAAGCACCTGAAATTCAAGTTATGGTACAACATTACTAAAGACATATACATTGTAACAGTAACAAAAATATGCTTAATACTTGTATGTATTTTTTTTCAAGAATTTTAGAAAAAGCACTAGTATTTTTTTTTTTTTTTTTGGCCATAACACATGGCATGCAGTGATCTTAGTTCCCTGACTAAGGAACCAAACGCTCGCTCTCTGCAATGGAAGTGCAAAGTCTTAACCACTGGGCCACCAGGGAAGTCCCAACTTTTTTTTTTTTCTTTTAATTCACAGAACATTTCACAATAACTCCTAGAATCTTAGGGTTTTTCTAAACTCTTTTGGGAAAACACTGCGTTGAAAACTAGAAGGCAGACACAGATTGTTCCCAGTTGAGATTAGATAGAGAGCAAACAGACTTTTTTGTTGGGACATAGATTTTAACAATACTTAAGGATGAAAAAAATTCCAGTTCTATTAATTATTAGACAGAATACAATTTAAGTAGCAATTCTGAGAAATTCACTTTAGGAACAACTTAGATTAAATGTGCACATCACATGAACTCAAGGGTTCCGTTCATAGCCTGCAACACTGTGAATAATTCTATATGTTTTCAGTTAGGGAAATTCCAGGTATGAGCTCTGTCGTTGCATTTGAATACAAAATTTCACATACTCCCACACACAGTCCAGCTTGGTTTTTTTATATGAGTATGAGATATGGAGTCATTTAGAGAAAAAAATTTCAGTTTTTCATGAATTAAGATAAAGGCAGGGTTGAGGGGGAGAATAGCTATTTATACTAACTGAGGAGTAATATTTGCTTGCATTTTTTGTGCCCTGCATGTACTGTTAGTGCTTTTCTAGTGTTTTATTAGCAGTAGTTGATCAATTTGGTTTAAAAACCTACTCCTACAAGTAGGTCCATGACATTCAGTAATGCAGATTGTCTACTGCATACACATGCCAGCAAACCACACACACACACACACACACACTGCTTTTGAGTACATGCAACCCAGACCATGTCCTGCTCCCTAGGCTGTGGGTCCTGGGGGCAGAACTTTATTGCCCCAGAAAGGAGCACCGTTTCCTGATTCATAAAAATGTTTCACACAGGCTGTTGGCAGCTCTGTTTACGAATGAGTGAATAAACTCTGTTTTCCTAGCAATCATCCTTTCCCTAAACCACGTTTTACTCTGTTTAACCCAAAAGAAAGGTAATAGCGGTTTGAAAGAATCAACAGAAACAGATTTATGCAGCGGTCCAATTGTGTTGGTCATTCAAACAAGTATAAAATTGTCAAGTTGATTACATCAATTATGGTTTTTTTTCAAAAGTATGAGCTAACATGTGAACAATAGTATCTGTGTGATAGAGGGTACAAGGTGAAAGCCCCTAGTATGTAGTGTCACCTAGGAGAAGTCAGGAACCTTCTTAGTTCAGGTTAAAAGCAGCAAGGCCTAGGAACAAATCATTTATTGGAGCACATTTGAAAGCTGTCGTAATCAGAGTAGAGGGTGTATGCAGGGATATAAATTCACATCATCCTTTCCTTTTTGCTTAGCATTGATCGTCATGGTCCTAATAGCCTATTTCTTTTCTTCATTTTTCTGCCTCAGGCTTTTTTGTTCTTGTTGTTTAGTGCTTCCTCTGTCTTCCCTTTTTCTTTTTCTTTTCTTAGACAGTAGTCCTTCTATTGTACAGCCCCTGTTAGGGACAGAAAGATATGGCTAAGAGAAGACAGAAACAAGTGGTAAAAATTCCAGATGGTTGGAAAATTGTCTTTGCCAACAGAGTCAGTATTCATAGCCTTTAGTTACCATACTTTGGCATGAAAGCCTTTAAATAAAATGTAGACCTTTAAGAGAAAATTTTAATTTAAGAAGATGTGAGCTCAGGTCCTTTCCACCATCTTGGTCAATCCCTAAAAAAAAAAACAATCAGAAAATATGGACTAAAGGATCCTATAGTTAAAGAATGTAATTGAGTCCAGATAGCATTGAGGTAGAACCATTCCAACTAACTATAGCTTGACGTCCCAGGCTTAGTCTGAGCCAAGTGTTACTCTTCAAACTACTTTTAGCTCGCTTACCTAAGCTTTTTTTTTTTTTGGTGGTGGTTGTTGTTTTTAAATTTTATTTATTTTGGGCCACCCTGGCCTCGTTCTGCACGTGGGCTCTCTAGTTGAGGTGCATGGGCTTCTCGTCGCGGTGTCTTCTCTTGTACACCGTGGGCTCTAGGGTACATGGGCTTCAGTAGCTGAGGTATGCAGGCTCAGTAGTTGCAACGCATGGGCTTGATTGCCCCAGGGCATGTCCCTAAAAAAAAAAAAAAAATCAGAAAATATGGACTAAAGGATCCTATAGTTAAAGAATGTAATTGAATTCAGATAGCATTGAGGTAGAACCATTCCAACTAACTATAGCTTGACGTCCCAGGCTTAGTCTAAGCCAAGTGTTACTCTTCAAACTACTTTTAGCTCGCTTACCTAAGTTTTTTTTTTTTTTGGTGGTTGTTGTTTTTAAATTTGATTTATTTTGGGCCACCCTGGGTCCTCGTTCTGCACGTGGGCTCTCTAGTTGAGGTACATGGGCTTCTCGTCAGGGCGTCTTCTCTTGTTGTACACCGTGGGCTCTAGGGTACATGGGCTTCAGTAGCTGAGGTATGCAGGCTCAGTAGTTGCAACGCATGGGCTTGATTGCCCCAGGGCATGTGGAATCCTCCCAGACCCAGGATCGAACCCATGTCCCCTGCATTGGCAGGCAGATTCCCAGCCACTGAACCACCAGGAAAGTCCCAAAACTATGTTTTAATCACTTTTAAAAATATTACTTATTTTTCCCTGTCCCAAAATACTGTCTTCTATGGAGATATTTCTTCAAGCTATGTTCTCCTAAAGTTAATATTTAGGCTTATATAGATGGCAGACAAGGTTAAGAGCAGCATGTCTCATGAATGTTTGACAGTTAATTTTACCATATTGTACTTTCAGAATCTTTTTGGCAGTAATAGTCTTGATGGAGGAAACAGCCCAATGATCAAGCCCAAAGGAGACAAACAAGTGGAATACCTAGATCTAGATTTAGATTCTGGGAAATCCACACCACCACGTAAGGTAAGTGAAACCTCTTTCTATAAGTGTACTTAGCTCACGTGTAAAACCTGAAGAACTGTCTCCTTTGAGGGAATTCTATTAGTATGTTTAATTTAAATTTAGAAAAGCCTATTACCTAATGCCTTTTTATAAATCACAAACAACAGTTTTGCAGATTAATTTATTTTTTCATGTCTAATGGCATGGAAGTTACATACTTTGTACTGTCTTGGGGATTATCATTAAAATGCTTGCTTAGAAAATTCTGAAGTTCCACAGTTAATCATGGTCTTCACTCTCTTTCCAGTGTTAGTTTACTCAAATTACTCCCATACTGACTTTGTCCAAAAGTTTTAAGTTTTTTGTTGGTGGTGTTATACTCACAAAGTAGACGTTATTATTAGTTGTAATCTTATAATATCATGGAGGAGGAAATGGCAACCCACTCCAGTATCCTTACCTGGAGAATTCCATGAACAGGGGAGCCTGGTGGGCTGCCCATGGGGTTGCAGAGAGTCGGACACGACTTAGACTAACACATACACACATTCTTATTATACAGACACTGTTTGTTTACACTTTCCTGCATTAGGAGCACGGAGTCTTAGCCACTGGATCGCAAGGGAAGTCCCTAATTCTCAAATATAAGAATTCTAAAATTAGTGGGAAAGCAGAGTACAGTTAGGATAGCGACATCATCATTAAATTGCAGTAGTTGGTGTTATTTTTTTGGTGAACCAGAAGAATTTCAGAAGTTACTCACAGTGTGTATGTGCTCATGTTTTAAGACTGGAGTTCATGCAGAAGCACTGCTTCTGTGGGAACTTACGGGATTTTTCCTTTGCTTTTTAGCAAAAGAGCAGCGGCTCAGGCAGCAGTGTAGCCGACGAGAGAGTGGACTATGTGGTGGTCGACCAACAGAAGACCCTCGCTCTGAAAAGCACCCGGGAAGCCTGGACCGATGGGCGGCAATCCACAGAGTCTGAAACACCAGCCAAGAATGTGAAATGAAAAGACTGCTTTGATGTGTCTGAACAAAAGAGGACTGAACTGTAAAGAGAAATCCTGCTTGACCCGAGATAACTTGACCCTTCTACTCTAGGTAGATCCTCAACTAAGTAGAGTCAAAGTCGGAGGACCTTCCAGGCTTAATCAAGCTGTCAAGACTGTAAATGGTGCTTTGTGGTATCTGAACAATTCATCACATGTAAATAATGTGGGAAAATACTATTGTAATGTGGCTCCCAGAGAAACATTTGTTCTGTAGTTAACACTCTTGTAGTATTACTGTATTTATGCACTTTTTCATTTGAAGCATTGGTTTGGGTGTTCCCAAGTGGACCTTAACATGATTCTGTTGGGAGTTCTTGTTTTTTCTCACACTACTCTTAAGAGCGATGCTGAGTAAACTAAGCTACTTTCCCATTGAGAAATTGCTCTTTCACCTGCAGGATAACAACATGGCCCAAGAAGTACCTTCACAATCTGCCATTCTACCTGAAACTTCGAGGGGTAATCGTTAGCTTAAAATACAAAGTAGAGTTGGACTCATTATTCAATGCCTTTCAAAGTGCTGAACGAACATCGTGTCCATACTGGCGTCAGGACTTAGTTCTCTGGTTCATGGACATTTAGTTTCCAGTGGTGGAACCTTGTTATATTGTGTTAATTACAGTGTTTTTGGCTCACTGAGTGAAGATTCTGCCAGGTGGGCTCTTAGACCTTGGAAAGAGTGAATAATGACACTATCAAGTAAATGTACAAATCACTGATGGCATGTGGTAAGGATGTGCTTTCACACTTGTTACCATGTATTAAAATTTGCAAAGTGTAGATTATACAGCTAATCAGGTACGTACCAGGCACTGATGTGCTAATACACTGATCAGGTTTATGCAACAAGCTTTAGTTGTGTTCTTGTTAATCCTCTAACGTTGTTGGTTTCCAGTTTGGAATTAATGACACAGTTGATATTCACTGTTAGTTATAGCAACATACTGTGACTTTTAATTAGACAGTCATGCAGATTTATTGCTCTAAGAATGAAATTCTGTCTTTTGACACCATAGTGCCCTTTCTATGGTTTTTTTTAAAACTTAATATTCTTCTTGGCCTTATCCTATTTAAATCCCTATGCAATTAATGTTTTATATCTGCGTTGTTTTTTTTTTTAAATAGATGTTATATAAGTGATTCTCATATGTAGCACCTATATTGCTTTTCCAGTAAAAAAAAACATTAACGATTTTGTACTGTGATTTATATTCACCATCCCAATTCAAGAAATAGTGGAGCCTTGCTATAATGTGAAATCTTATAGCCATGGACTTCTTCCAACTAGATTTCTGAAACCACCGGAGGTATCATATAATTCTATCTCACCTATAACACGGTCCTGTGACATGGATATCAAGACCACACATTATATATAGTGAGGCTATAATTTATCTGTCTTGGCTTTGCAATGTAATTTAGAAAGCAGATATACTTGTTGGTTTGATTGGGTTTTAAATACGTTACATACAATCTCTTATGTACTGATTTGAGACTTACTAACAGTTTTTGGAGGGGCATAGAGATCGGAGAGCCTACAGCTGAGTCACGTTCCCCCACCCCACTTCGGACCTCTAACTGTTGCCTGAGAACACAGATGTGCCCTGATTTCTGGCCTCTTGGCCACTGTATGGTGCCTGACTTATGTAATGGGTTTATGTCCCCTCCATGAACTAAAAAAACATTCATAACAAGATGAATTGTAGACGAATAACATTTGATGCTTTTAAATGTTTGCTTCTTTTTAAACAGAAACTAAACCCAGAACTGAATTTTGAGGTGGGTTTTTAAATAAAAAAGATTGTTTGAGTTTGGTGTGTGCAAGCTGTTTTATAATGAAACCACAAAATAAAGTAAAAAATCATTGAAATGTTCAACTATCAAAATACACAACACAGTTTTTAGTGTGAGGATACTTACTTGTGTTGCATGGAGGATAAACATGTTTTGAGATTTAGAACGTAACAATAGATATGTGACTAATTCAGTTAGAAATATTGTTTTAAAAGTGACCTATCAGAAAAGCCTAAGGCAATTATGAATTTTTAGTGGAATTCCTCAATATTTTACAAGTTATCATTTTTGAAGACCCGCAACACTAATTTGTAGAAATTTTCCCATTAGGCTGAGTAATTTAAGAATTGAAATGTATTAGGCAGTATGTTAAAGTAAATCGCATTAAATACTGGATTAACAAATTAAATGGAAAGACAGTCTCTTACAGAACAGTATCTCCCAAACATTTTTTAGCACTAGAATCTTTTTAAAGTAAACTTTGTATAAGTCCAATACATAAAGCCTGAAAAGTCCGTTTAATCAGTGTAATCATATCTTGAGTCCACATTTATGTGTGCTTGTCTTAGTCCATTACTAAGAATCTAACATTGATCTCTAAGTAACACAAATGTGAAGTTGAGATTATAGTTGGTGAAGCCTCAGCTGCCAGTCTGTTTCTTTGCCTTGTTATTTAAGTACTATCAAGAGAATTTCGATTCATGCAAATGTAAGTAAGTAAAATAATAGGGTTTAAACACACATTACAGGAGATTCTTTAACTAGAGATAGTTATAGTCGTGTTCCCAGTTTATACAAAAGTAAATTATCCTGGTAGTAGAAATTTATATATAAGTGGTCTCCAGTGTGGTAGAATTTTTAGTAAGTTTTTAAACTATGCACTTTTATAAAAACCAAATTTGAATCAAACATTTTTAATACCTATATGTGTGCATGTGTGTATATATATATACACACACATATGCGAGCATGCTCAAGTTGTGTCTGACTCTTTGCAACTCCATGGGCTGTAGCCCTGCCAAACTCCTCTGTCCATGGAATTTTCCAGGCAAGAATACTGGAGTGGGTTGCCATTTCCTTCTCCAGGGGATCTGCCTGACCCAGGGATCAAACCCATGTCTCTTGTGCCTCCTGCATTGTAGACAGATTCTTTACCATTAAGCCATTGGGGGAACAGACCCCTTAATACCCTTAATCCCTACAAGAAGCTGAGTTTTGACCAGACATGTGTTGAACACCACTTGTTAACCATGTAACAGTTGAGTTATGAATCAGAAGTCTTTTTCTACCACATTTATGCTCTCTCCCTTCTAGTCTTTCTTTTGAAAAACTGTACAATTTCATGAAAGTTTGAATACCAGTGTGCAGTGCCACTTTAAAAAATCAAAATTTGAACTTGAATAATTTAAGCTACTTAACCCACAGGAGGTATCACTCAGTAAGCTATAAAAATGGTTTTTATGTACATGCTATACATTTTCATCTTTATTTTTCATCAATACTGTATAAGCCACTGTAGGCATTTTAGAGACTTCCATAAAGGTACTATGAGTGTGTGTATGTATACATAGCATTGTATTTAATCACAGACTAATTAGATACAGAAATACTGCCATGCTTATACAGTTATGTCGTAAGTCATAATTCCCTCTGAACTCTTTATATTTAATTCATGGGCGCTTATAATCATCATATTCATAAACTCACTCAAACTGGAAATTGAACCCCAGTGTTTGTTTTTCTACTAGTGGGAAGTTGCCTGCATTTCTTTAGCAAAAATAGTATTTTTTGTTTTGTTTCGCTATTCACTATTTTATGCCTGTACCCTATACCTTAGGCATAATGCTTAGATACTCCCAGACACTCTTAGTGCCTCTTTATTTGACCCATTGGAAGCATCAGTGTTAGTATTTCAAGTGAATTATCTTTTTAAAAATTTTAGAAACAGCAATGTGGGCCAATTCTTTTTATTCCTATCTTCGGGTCATTGTGGTTGGTCTTATCCTCCATTGTTAGATAAGCAGTCAGCTTTTTAACAGGATTGACATAACGTGACCAAACCAAGTGGATCCAGAGAGAGGGGGGTCATACTCCAGAAAAACAATAACATCTGCTTTATGTAAATCTGTACATAATTTAAAATACTAACAACTGTGAGACGAAAAGCCATGGTGCAAATGAATATTTTAGACACCATGGGCTTGTGATGATGAAAAATCACTTGTCAGGTTTTGAGATGATTGATTTTAATCTGATAAATATGTTTCTATATTACTGCAACTTGAAATAATTCATCCTCCATAGATCTATCTTTCTTTAGGTTCAGTATGGTGTATATTATGAGTTTCAACAGTCTGTTTCATCAAGGGATTAACCTAGCTTCTTGCTTGCTTTACTAAAAAGACATGGCTTTGTGTGAGTTCTTGTAACCTAAATCGATTGTTGATAACCATCCCAAATTTCCACAGCAGAATCTTATGTATAAATTTATTTCTACCTTCTTGCACATCTTTTTTTGTAAAGATCCGATTGTTGATATTTTCTGCTACCAAATAAAACTTTTCAAACAATTTGGTTTCAAGACCTTAAATACTTAATTTGGATTCTGAGACTGTGAACCAATAAGGACGTGTAAATTTCTATTTTCAAACCCTTCCTTAGAATCTTTATCTAAATCAAAAACATGATTCTGCTGTTAACTATGCTTCCCAGTTCTGCTTCTAGAGGGTCACTCATTTTCTACAATAAAGATCCCACTGACTGAATGAGTGTTAGTTGCTCAGTCGTGTCCAACTCTTTGCAACCCCATGGACTGTAGCCCACCAAGCTCCTCTGTCCATGGAATTCTCCAGGCAAGAATGCTGGAATGGGTTGCCATTTCCTTCTCCGGGGGATCTTCCCGACCCAGGGATCAAATTCAGGTCTCCTGCATTGCAGGAAATGTGGATTCTTTATCATCTGAGCCACCGGGGAAACCCCAAATATCCCACTAAACCATGCTAAAATGTTACAGTCATGCTCTAACTAAATACAAAAGCCTCCTGAGACTGTTGCCCCATGCATATACCCTTTATTTCTTCATCTGTTCAGTCCTAGCGGCACTTTGTTGAGTAAAAGGCCAGTAAGTGAGAACCTTTGGGTCAGGAAACACATTTCCAACATGACTTGGGCAATTGTAACAGGATCGACCTTTCCATATCTAGGAACATTTTCAGGCGCCTCCAGTGCTTCATTAGACCCCAAGAATTACCGTTAAGTTGTGGCAATGTGCAACTCTGACTGTGTCATTAGATCATATTTGGGAAGTTCGAGAATGTGACATTTCTGAGATCATTCTTCCCCATCTGTCTGTCACCCTGTACATGGTGAAATCTCTGGATATTTGCATATACCTTCTTTGGGGGGAAAGCTGCTTCTCTGATACCAGTACATGTTTTGAATTAGAGTTTTGTTAGAGTTTTCTGGAGAATACTTTGGTCATTCTGTGAATGCATATCATTGCATATTTAAAAGCTGAGTCAGTAGCAGAAGGCATTTTATTAGCTCTCATGGTGAATCACATTCTCCCCTTAGATTCTGTTTTAATATTATACAAAGTTATTTATTAATAAACACCTATAGAAAATTATGTTTCTGAAGCTTGTTCCTATAATTCACTAAACAGGATTTATTCCAACTAATCATGGTTGTGTTGATGATTCACTCATGGCTCATGTGTCTCTGATTTTGTGTGTGATTCCCAAAGTGTTTGGAGGACTCAGTATGTGGTGGTACAGAAAACAAAAAAGTCAAATAAATGTTTTAAAAGCCTACATTCTCAGGTAGTGTATCAAATGATTAATGTTTCAACTTGACTAAGCTGTGGTGCCCATGTGTTTGTTCAAACACTGGTTTAGATGTTGCTGCAAAAGTGCTGTGTAGATGTGTTTAACATTACAATCAATTTAGGCAAAGCCCATCACCTTCCAGAGGGTGGGTGGTCCTCATCCAATTAGTTGAAGGTCTTCAAAGCAAAAACTGAAGTTTCCTACCAAAGAAGGAATTTTTGCCTCAAGACTGTAACATAGAAATCCTGTGTGAATTTGCAGCCTACTGATTTAGCCTACGAATTTCAAACTTGTCACCTCACAATTGTGTCAGCCAGTTCCTTAAAATCTCTTGAGGAGATGGACAGAGAGATAGACAAATAGATTATATTGGTTCTATCTCAGTAGTTAAATAGATACAGGGATGGATGGATAGGTCTTTCTCTGGAAACCTCTGTTAATTCATTATTCTGAGATATCTACGTATTTATAGAGAGAGCAAGCAATGATTTTGAGGTTTAATTTGAAATGCAAGTTACAAAAACAATTTGAATATGTTGACAATCTACTCCAAAAATGTTTTCTGAAATTAAAGTGTTGAATTTCTGAAGCCATTTACGTACAGTGAAACAGATTTCCACTTCTGTGGACCATAATTTTTTTTTTTCTTTCAGGAATCATTATATTAGCATCCCAAAGGGGAGAGAACAGAAGCTAAGAGGAACAGAAAGATTACTGGATTCTTGTTGGATGGTATACAGGATCCTATTACGAACACAAGTTCATTTGCTGCACCTTTTTTTTGTAGTCTTGGCCCTTGTCATATGCTATGGCTTTAATATGCTTATTTAATTATCCTTGCTTTAAATTTCCCTTTTGTATGTAGAACATAAACCCTATATACCTAAAAACAGTCTGAAAATTGCTTATTTCAATCTTTCAATCAATAACTTTGTAATTCAGACTAAGACAGAAGTACTGTTTTTCCAGATTTTGATTCGACTGAATTGATGATCTGTTAAAAATTAAATCACTTCACCAGAGTAGCTGCTACTTGTGTAGCATTATGCTAGGTGCTGTGGGAGACACAGAAGAAATCTGCATCAGTCTTATCTTTACAAGGATACGTGTAAAATAAATGATACAGGATGGTCAATAGTTACTCTGAAGTACCACCAGTGAGGTACTGAGGCAAAGACTGTTAAAATATAGTAGGTCAAAAGCTTCATAGAAGTGGAGATTGAGCCAAAGTTTGGATGACTGGCAAGAAGGAAAAAGGAGTCATTTTATACAAAGAAGAACAATATGGACAATTCATATATCTGTTTGCTATTAGTTTCATTTTCTGGGAAGAGGGGTGTAAAGAGAGAAGAAGTAGAATGCGGAGAACTGTGTTGTGTATTAGATGTGTGTGCTCATCACGTCTGACTCTTTACGCCCCATGGGCTGGAGCCCACCAGGCTCCTCTGTCCATGGGGATTCTCCAGGCGAGAATCCTGGAGCAGGTTGCCAGGCCCTCCTCCAGGGCATCTTCTCGACCTGGGGACTGAACCCACATCTCCTGTGTCTTTAATGCTGCAGGCAGATTCTTTTACCACTGAAACACCTGGGAAGCCCCTGTGTGTTAGATGGAATGTTATAAATACTGTGTTAACCATCTAATGCTATGTAATAAGCCAAAATGTAGTGGCTTAAAAAGTAATCATCATCATCCATTCTCACAGTTTCCCACAGTCAGAAGTTAAGGAGTATCTTGGCGTGGCAATTCTGGCTCAGTCTCTGGTGAAATGAAGTCGCATCAGTTGAGACTGCAGTACCCTTGAGATGAAGGATGTGTTCCCAAGGAGGTTAAAGCACATGGCTGGGAAGTGGCAGCAAGCCTGTGTCCTCTTCAAGTGGACTTCTTCCAGAGCTGCTTGAGTGTCCTCATGGCATGGCTGCTGGCTCCACCCAAGCTAGTGATCCCCAAGACCCAGCAGAGGCTTCCATGCCTTTTGTGACCTAGGTTTGGAAGCCTTACAATGTCATGCACTCTACTGGGTCATCTGGTCTACTCCCTATTCATTGTAGGAGGAGACATACAAGGATGTGAATACCAGAAACTGGGATTACTGGAAGAATCTTAGAGGCTAGTTTTCACAGAGTGGAGTGTTAAGAGATGACACCAAAAGAAGATGGCCTTAAGGACCAAGGAACTTAGGTTTATTGAGAGTTAAGAACTTTAAGATGTTAGAACATCTTACTGCTCCACTGGAAAGAGTAGGCCACAGGAAGTCAGGAAATAGCCCTGAAATGGCATCTGTGAGTTTAGCTGTGGGTCCTTGTAAATTACAAAGCGATTCAACAGATATTGAGACATTTTATATTTTTTAATATTTATTATTTATTTGTTTACTTGCACTGGGTCTTAGTTGCAGCATGTTGAATCTTTAGTTGCAGTATGTGAACTGTTTAGTTACTGGATATGGGATTTAGTTCCCTGACCAGGAATCACACCTGGGCCCCCTGCATTGGGAACACAGAGTCTTAGTCACTGGACCAACAGGGAAGTCTTGAGATGCTGTGTTTTATATTTACACTTAATCCCCATGACACTGCAAAGTATTCTCTCCAACCTTGAAGTTCCAGCAAAAACAATTCCACAAGGCCTTCCCTTAACTCCCCCACCCAGAGATGCTCCTCCTCTCCTTGAAAGGATCAATACTGGTAAATCTCTTCTGTTTTTCATATTTGGCCTTTGTGCTGGAATATTAATTTGCTAGGGCTGCTATCTCAAAGTACCACAGACTGGGGAGCTTAAATAACGGATTTATTTTTTCACAGTTCTGGAGGCTGGAAGTTCAAGGTCAAGGTGTAGGCAGATTTAGTTTCTTCTGAAGCTTCTTTCCTTGGTTTATAGATGGCTGCCTTCTCACTTGGCCTTTTCATTTGGCCTTTGGAACCCTGGTGTCACATTCTCTCATTATAAGGACACCAACCATATTGAATGAGTCCCCCCATCTTTATGACTCATTTAACCTTAACTGTTTCTTTAAAGGTCCCATCTCCAAAAACATATTCTTAGGTATGGGGGTTGAGTCTTCAATATGAATTTTGGGACACAGTTCAGTTCATAATAATTAGCTATGTTTAGCTCATCAACCTAGCTGTATGCACCTTAGAATAAAAACTATGTTTTATTTAATATCTGTCTCATCCATCACATCCCCAGCAAGAAGAGATGGCACACTCTGAGGAGTAACTGAAGGGAGTTGAATGAAGAAGCAATTGCAAATCTGTGCATTGGGTGAAGGGAAGTTAAAAACTCTTAGTGACAGTAACTAGCCAGCACCACTTTTAGATCTAAGGGGCAGATGGAAGGTGACGCTATTGACATCCAGCAAGAGCTGTCCACACTTGAGTCTTAGGTAGAAGGACACAACCACTCCCAAATGCAAACCCGCTGCAAGAGAGTGAGGTTACCTCTCCTATGACTTGCCAGTGACTAGAAGCAACCACCAGCCCAGGAGATGTATAATACACAGACGTCATCTTCTCAGGGCAAATGGCAAGGCAGAGAAGGCTAAGAGCCAACAGAGAAAATCCTTCACAACCTTCATATTTTCATGGTTTCATATTCACATATCAAACCATCAAAGAAATAAAGGGTCTGTGGAAGATTAGCTTGCTTAAACACCTGATCAAAACTCTTTAGACAAAGGTCTGTAATAGAGCTATAGCTTTTCCAGCAGTCATGTACAGTTGGACCATTAAGGTCGAGCACCAAAGAATTGATACTTTCAAATTGTTGAGGTGGAGAAGACTCTCGGGTGTCCCTTGGACAGCATCCTAAAAGCAATCAACCCTGACTATTCATTGGAGGGACTGATGCTGAAGTTGAAGCTCCAATACTTTGACCATCTGATGTGAAGAGTCAACTAATTGCAAAAGACCCTGATGCTTGGAAAGATTGAGGGCAGGAGGAGAAAGGGGTGACAGAGGATGAGATGGTTGGATGGCATCACCGACTCAATAGACATGAGTTTGAGCAAACTCCAGGAGATAGTGAAGGGCAGGGAAGCCTGGCAAGCTGCAGCCCGTGGAGTCGCAGAGTCAGACGTGACTTAGGGACTGAACAGCAACAACCTGTCCTTCAGAAGCTGTAAGAAGAAAAACTACATTTCCCAGACTTCCTTGCAGCTAGCACTCTGCCCATCATCCACTTTCCACCAGTAACAATCACTTAAATTCAGAAACAGTTCGTTGGAGAGGGAGGCAGAACTCTGCAAAGCATCCTTACTGTTAAATCTAGCCACTTACATTTGGCAGATGAAGCAGTGTGTTTGAGCCTTGGCTGACAGCTAAGATGGTGAATTCTGGGAGCCATCATCTGTGGCGGCTCCCTGCACCCTCATGGAACCATGGGCAAGTGATCCTGGAATCAGCCACTAGTGAAGTGGTTTCCTAAATCCAGATTTCTGATTGTTCCCAAGTCTGGCCCTTTGATGGCATTGTCCTGAGAATCATTGCTAAAGGCCATACACACTTGAGTGATTGTAAATTCTTTATTTTCTATATTAAATTCCATTTTGTTTAAAATTGTTAGAGTGGCTTGCCTCTGTTGAAAATTACATTGGGGTCATTTTCCGCCCCTTGCATTCTGGAATATTTTTCCTATTCTCATATTGCAAAACTGTATTATTAAAGAAAATTGAGGGGGAGGGGTAAGAGTAAGAGGAAAACACTCAAGCTGTGTTACTTCCCTTTCTTTGCCTGCAAATGTGCAGCTGGAGTCTGCTTTCTGCATCGATTGCTGTTATAAATATCTTCCCAGGTGTTAAACATGTATCTGAATTGTCATCTTTAAAGACTGCATAATATTGTTTTCAGCATTTTAAAATACTCAATGAAAAGATCCAATTTGGATACAGGCATGGGAAGTGAAACACTAGCATATACTACCACTGGGAACATAAATCGGTACAACTGTTTTTAAAGAGCAGTTTATTATTACAATTTTAATGTCTTGAAACTATATTTAACCATATAGCAACCATATAGTAACTGAATATCAAGTAATTAACCCTGAAGATTAGTGGCTCAGTGGTAAAGAATCTGCCTGCAATGCAGAAGACCGCCTGCAAAACACAGGAGACATGGGCTCAATCCCCGGGTCAGAAAGATTCCCTGGAGAAGGGAATGGCAACCCACTTCGGTATTCTTGCCTGGGAAATCCCATGGACAGAGGAGCCTGGCGGGGTACAGTTCGTGGGGTCACATGAGTTGGAGGTGACTTAGCGACTAAACCACTACCACCAACCCTGAAGAATTAAACATGTGCACAATAATTTATCTCCAAGGAGTTGGAAGTGTATCCAACATTGGAGGGTTGGTTAAATTGTGCATACATATGTATGTAGTCATTTACAATATACAACAATAATTTTCAAGTGTGTTACTCAATAAGAGAAACCTCTGAAATAAAAGGGAGTCCAAGTTGGTGAGATCCAATGCCTTTTCACCTTGCTTTAATTAGGGTGCTTCTGTTTCCATGTTTGAAGGTAAGTGTAAGATTCTATTTGAAAACTAGTTTCTGCTACTGGAAAACATTCTAACCATTGTAATAAAAGAATATTTGATGTCATCAATGGTTTTTCAAGATATACTGCTATGTAAAAATTGTCTATGTAACTAAGCATAAAATAAGTCTATGTTTGTATGTAACTAATAGGATTAAAATAGCCAGATAGCCCTACAGATATTACAGACATTAAAATAACAACAAAAAAGATACTGTGGGCAACCTTAGGCAAATTAATTTGAAAATTTTATAAAATGAGCAAATTGCTATTAAAAAAAAACACTACAGCTGAGAAAAGAAAAATTTTGAATAGTCCTATATCAACTAAAATGAATTATCAACTAAAATGAATTTTATAGTTAAAAACCTTTTTTACAAAGAGAATTCTGGGCTAAGATAAAATCTCCAATAGATACTACCATATGTTTAAGAAAGAATGCCAGTCCTACATGAGTTCAAGAATACAAGGCAATAAAAAAAAAAAAAAAGACGAAATAACAAATGTGGTAGAGAATGTGGAAAAAAAGAAACTTTGAATAGTGTTGTTTGGAATATAGATTGATGAAGCCACTATGGAAAACAGTATGTTGTTCCTCAAAAATTAAAAACAGAACTACTTTAACAAAAAAAAAAAAAAGGAAAAGAATACAAGGCAATACACCACATTAGTAAAATAAAGGGGAAAATACACACAGTCATTTTAACTAATGCAGAAAACCTGTTGATAATTTCAATCTCTATGCTTAGTTTCATATATACTGAAAACAAAACTCTTAGTAACATGAAAAAAAAGAAATGTATTACCAAGAAAAGAATATCTATTTTAAAAATCCATCATCAAACATGATACTTCATAAGATGAAATATTGACAACTTTCTCCTTGAGACCTAAAGCAAGACCAATATGTTCACTATTAGCATTTTCATTCATTATGAACTAGGGACTCTACCAGAGAGAAGTAGGGGATTTGAACAAAATAAATAAAACTGCTATTATTCAAATGATATGATTATGCATGTAGAAAATTCAAGCAAATCTATAGATAAAAGATTGCTAGAGACAAATAGGCAAAAATGAACATTAATATATACTATTTTAAATATATTCTATTTGCCAGGAAATGATGGGACCAGATGCCATGATCTTCATTTTCTGAATGTTGAGTTTTAAACCAGCTTTCTCACTCTCCTCTGTTGCTCTAGGTTAACTACAGAATTGTCACAGTGGCCCCTTGGCGGTATGGAGTGCAGCTATGAATGCTTTGGGATCACTGTCCACCCAGTCCCACCCTGAAAGTTACCCTAGAATACACTGATCCACTGATTATATGGAACTGTCTGTCTCATTTTTTTGGTCTCAGGAGGTCTTCTCAGTTCAGTGGGCACTTTTCATTCCCTTTGTCCTTGGACAGCAAGGAGATCCAACCAGTCCATACTAAAGGAGATCAGTCCTGGGTGTTCACTGGAAGGACTGATGCTGAAGCTGAAACTCCAATACTTTGGCCACCTCATGCGAAGAGCTGACTCATTGGAAAAGACCCTGATGCTGGGAGGGATTGGGGGTAGGAAGAGAAGGGGACAACAGAGGATGAGATGGCTGGATGGCATCACTGACTCGATGGGCATGAGTCTGAGTAAACTGGGTGTTGGTGATGGACAGGGAGGCCTGGCGTGCTGCATTCATGGGGTCGCGAAGAGTCAGACACGACTGAGCGACTGAACTGAACTGAACTGTCTTCCAATGCATAACAACCACCACACCATGTGTAAACCTTGAATGGAGGGGAAAAGCTGTATAAAACGTTTTAGGCACAAATAGAAAATTGTAAGTGGGCTAGAAGCTAAGCAATATTGAGGAATTAGTCAATATTCTCAGGTGTAGTAATAGTATTATGGTACTGTAGTTGAAGTTGGTTAGCCTTCATCAAATATATGCATTTTGAAATACTTAAGTGAGAGCATCTAAAAAAAATAATCCTGAAACAAATCTGAAAAAATTGCTCACAATATATACATTTGTAGAGAAACAGATTTAAATAAAGCAAAATATTAATAATTGTTGTCAAGGGAGTGAGTACTTTCTGCAGTATTCTTTAACCTTTCTATTGAAGACTTTGGTTGAAGAAAATTAAAAAATAATTGAAAAGCTAATAGATATTTCCTGTAGAAAAAGAGAGAGAGAAAGAAAAAAAGTGAGAAAGAAAGGGAGAAAGAAAGAAAGGAAAGAAGGAAGAGAGAGACAACAGAATGGTAAGACTAAAACCTTAAGTTAACTGGAATATGTTTTTAAGTTATTAGTATGAATTGCCAATCTCTGAAAATACTTTTTAAATAATGTCTACAATTTGCATATATTCTTTACATCCCTTTTAAAAAGTTAATATTTTAATCTGAATAAGAGCACAAAACAATCTTCCTTATGAATGATTTTTCTATATAATATTTTGAACAAAGAACACAATGACAGTTCAAAACACAGAAAGCAAACAATATTATGCACCAAAAAGTATTCCTTTCATATCATTTGTTTACCCATATGTATACTCATAATCAAATTCATATGTATTAATGGAACTAATAAATTTCAGTTGTTCTTAATGATACTTTGTTTTTCCCCTAAGATTATATTTGTGTATTTCCAGCCACTTGAGCATTTGTTATTTAGTGGACATCGCCCCCTTGTGCATAAAACTGAATCTGCAAGGCAAATCCAGACAATGGAATAAACTTATGACTTCTTTCACAGAATTACAAATATAAAAGTCCCTTGAAGCCATATAGTCTCTCATCACACCTTCAATTACTCAGTTATGAGCAGCCCCCAAATTTTAACCCTTTCTTGATGCTCTCAAGGAAGGAATCCCCACACTTGCCTTAGCAATCTCATAGGTACTTTGTACCTTTTGGTCTCTAAAGAATTCTCACATTCATATTTTGTTTGATTAGAACAGGAGTTATTGCCCTCCTTTTCTGTTGAGATATAATTCACATACCATACACCTCACTCATTTGAAGTGTACAACTCAGCAGTTTTTAGTACATTCAGGATTGTGCAAATGTCACCACAATTTATTTTAGAACACTTTCATCACTCCAAAGGGAAACTTCTTACCTGTTAGCAGTCACTATCCGTTTCCCCAACCCTACCCATAAACCCTAGGCAACCGCTGATCTATTGTGTCTCTGTAGAGTCCCCTTTTCTAGGCATTTAGTATACATAGAACCATATAGTATGATAGGTGGTCTTCTGTGACTTTCTTTTTCCACTAGGCTTAGCATGTACAAGGTCCACCCATGTTGTAGTGTGTATCAGCATTTCCTTCCTTTTTACAGCTGAGTAATATTCCACCCAGCTACATTTAATTATCTGTTCATCAGTTGACGGGCATTTGGATCATTTCCACTCTGACTGTTATGCATTATGCTGCTACAAACATTCAATTGTCCTCCTTTTACAGCTGCAAAAATGGAAAACTTCTGAGCTGAGATGATCCCTCAGAGGCTTACAATAGGAGAGAAGGATGCTCCTGCTCTGGACTGCTCTTTGAACATCACCAACACTACTCCAAACACAGCACCAGTCATCGCACTTGAGGGCTCCCATCATTCTCCATCTTCCCAACTTTCCCTGAATTTCTGTTAGCATCTCCAACCCCCAAATGATCATTCCGTCAGCAACCATCTCCCACCCCTTTCCTTTGGCCAAGCCTTTCCTCTGGTTCTGTAAAAAACTTTATTTCCACTTCACGCCCAATTTGCCTTGATGGGATGTGGGCTACCCTGAGAATATCGTGTTCCCAGCTCTTTCAAATGGAACTATTTCCTGTCAGAGCCCCAGCCCTGGGAGCAGGAAGTAAGTTCCCTTCTTGGCCAACAGTGGTTCGGACAAGACTCCCTCCTCCTCCCAGATCTCTAGCAGTTTAGTTTAAGAAACCACTGCACTTGTGGCTACGATCTAGTGACTCCTGGTCACCCGTCTCATTCGGTGGTCATGCCATCTTGCCCCCCACCCTCACCCCATAGATCACTATCTTCTCCTCTCCCCACTTTTTTCAGGTCTGCGTGTGACTTTAACAGCCTCCTGAGCAGCACATACAGAACACTAGCTTCTCTCAGCTCCTTGAGCTCTAATGACCTTTTCCCTCCACCTCCTTCAGCCATCCAGCGCCAAGTTTCCACCCTGGGGCTCACGGAATCAGACCAGTTTACCAAATGAACCATTGGCAGAACTGACTTAATTCTCGCTGCTATTAATAAAGTTTACAATCATGTGCCATACTGGATGCGGTAGACTGAATAGCCTTTGATGATTTCCTGTGACAGTTTAGTTTTACTCAGCTTTAACTCTGTTCTAACTCCCTGTTTTTGTAGCTGCAGGAAGACAGAGCAGAGCAAAGATGGAGAAAAGCTGGAGAAGAGACTGGGCATCACGTGCAGACTAAATGGCAGGGATGAAGGGGAGCTGGGACTGCTCAGGAGAAAGGTGCTCCTGACACATTCGTTTTATCAGCGCACATGCTGTGATGTTCTGATTGTGAGGGATTCTTCTCAAACGTTTCAAAACCCCTCAGTCGTTTCTCTCTACTCAATATACTAAATTCTCCTCTGTCTTCAGTCCATTCTCTTCTCTTCTGCTCCTGCCTTTATTTACTCCCGTGTTTTCTCTCACCTGGCCCCTCTTAACTCTAGATAGGGCTCTTCTCAGCCTATCTGTCTGGAGAAGGCAACGGCAACCCGCTCCAGTGTTCTTGCCTGGAGAATCCCATGGACAGAGGAGCCTGGTGGGCTGCAGTCTATAGAGTCACAAAGAGTCACAAATGACTGAAGCAATTTAGCAAGCACACATAGTTTGTGTACAATATGGGGTACAGCAGAGTGATTCATAATGTTTTAAGATTATATTGTGCTTATAGTTATCCTAAAATATTAGCTATATTCCCTGTGCAATACAGTATATCCTTGAAGCTTATTTATTTTATACATAATTGTATCTCTTAATCTCTTACCCCATGTTGCATCTTTCTGCTTCCTCTCTCCACTTGTAACCACTAGTTTGTTCTCTATATTTGGGAATCTATTTCTTTTTCATTGCCATTGCTAGTTTATTGTATCTTTTTAGGGGGTTTCCCTGGTGGCTCAGATGGTAAAGCGTCTGCCTATAATGCAGGAGACCCAGGTTTGGTCCCTCGGTCGGGAAGATCCCCTGGAGAAGGAAACGACAACCCACTCCAGTACTCTTGCCTGGAAAATCCCATGGACTGAGGAGCCTGGTAGGCTACAGTCCATGGGGTGGCAAAGAGTCGGACACAACTGAGCGACTTCACTTTCACTTTGTATCTTTCTGATTCCATATAAATGACATCATACAGAGTTTGTCTTATTCTGTCTGGCTTATTTCACTTAGCCATAAGTGAAATAGTACTTATGGTACTATTTCACATAGTACTCTATGGGTCTATCCATGTTGTTCCAAATGGCAAAATTTCATTCTTTTTTATGGCTGAGAAGTATTTCTTTGTATATAGAGATATATCAATCACATCTTTATCCATTCATCTGTCAATGAACACCTAGGTTGCTTCCATATCTTGGCAACTGTAAATAATGCTGCCATAAACATTGGGGTGCATGTATCATTTCAAATTGGTGTTTTTTATGTTTTTCAGATATACACCCAGGAGTGGAATTACTCCATACCACATGACATTGGGTCATATGGTAGTTCTAATTTTAGTTTTTTTGAGAAGCCTCCATACTGTTTTCCGCTGTGTTTGCACCAATTTACATCCCCAGCAACAGTGTACAAGGGTTTCCTTTTCTCCACATGCTTACCAACATTTGTTATTTGTCGTCTTTTTGATGATGTCCATTCTGATGTGAGGTGTGTCTCATTGTGATGGACAGTCTATTGAATGTGATAAAATCTCAGGGAGTGGATAAAAGATATATATGGGCTTCCCAGGTGGCTCAGTGGTAAAGAATCAGCCTGCCAATGTAGGCGACACAAAAGACTCAGGTTGGATACCTGGGTTGGGAAGATGGACTGGAGAAGGAAATGGTAACCCACAGCAGCATTCTCACCTGGGAAATCCCATGGACAGAGGAGCCCGGCAGGCTATAGTACGTGGTCTCACAAAGAGTCTGACACGACAGCAAACACACACGCACACACAAAGATATATAGTAGGGAATCCTCACAGTATAGATGTATACAAAATCCTGGAAATGGATGAATACCTAGGGAGAATGTGCAGTTAGAAAAAAGAGTTGATTGCATGGCTCAGTCCAACATGGAGAAATCGAGCAGAGGACAAGGAGTCAGCAACGGAGACTGAGAAAGAATGGGTATTAAAGCAGGAAGGAAACCAGGAGTTTGTAGTCTTATGAACACAGAGTATTTCAGGACAAAGGGAGTGATCAAACATGTGAAATCCTACTGA